GAAAGCAACACCTCCAAAGGTGTTTGCCTGCGGGTGTTCTGGCAACACTTGTAGCTGGTCGGCAAGGATCATCCTGCACAACCCACTGAGTTGTCGTCTTCATTAATAGACCATGTTTTAATACGTGGACGAGATTGGAACTTCAGTTTCTGACTACGATTTGTTCGGTGGTCAGCGCTGAATAAAAGAATTGAGACTAACGCAAAATTTGACTGGTCATGCTATCTCAGGGAGATGTGCAATGTTATTATAGCCAGACTACATCCTATATGGACGGACTTGTGGGTGCCTTTCAATGTGCTTAAGGCTAACAACGGCACCCAACCCTATTTTAGGCAGTTAACCCACACCTCGCGTTCAGAGCGGGCTATGCTACCACCACTACACTGGTGTATTTAAGGTGGATAGTTTAATTGGGACCCCAAAAATCAATTGCATCTGCAACACTGAGCATTCACTTCCAGAGACGTGAAAAAAAAAACTCCTCCATCCCCTACAAGACATCATTCCTATCCTATCGCCTATCGCATAGGATATGTATGAGCAAAGTAGGTGATAATTTTTTGCAGTCTCAGAAGGTCGCTCTGTGTTACTATGTGAAACAGTAAGTACGTGCGTGTGTAGGCTTTGGCATGTTAATTTTGCAAATTGTCCTTTTCCCGTTGTTTCTTTCTTGTAGGTATTCTAGGGCCAACCATGTACAATGAACTCGTTCCAGCTATATGTTCAGCCCGAGTTCCCACTCTAGCAGTTGCAGGATACTCAAGGTAGATTGTCAGGTCAGCTTATATGTGATTATGCTTTTGAACGTGCTTACTTTGCTTACATGTCACATTCGGACTTGAAATGTAAATCGTGGCTGGTCCCTACCGCTTTGGTGTGAAATTAGGCGATTCATTCTGCGTAGTTCTTATGGAAAAAACAACAGTTTCTAACAGTTTACTGGCGTATATATCACAAAGTGTGAAATTATGCACTTAAGCACTCCGAAAACTTCGGACCATTAAGCCAAAAATAATTTTGCCCATTTTATGTAGAGGAGGGACCATAACAATGATGATCTGGGCTAGGGCTTCAAATTACAGTCCCAGTAGGGGTTTTAAGAAGAAGTAATTTGTAAGCGGATAAGCTTAATTCAGTTTGCTCTGTGGTTTATTTGTGATCCAAGGCCTTATTAATGCTATAAATAAATTGGTCTTTTTTCAGCTAAGCAGTATGAACCAAATTTCGGACTTTCTATCTTGTTTAACAAATACTTCGTGTGGAATACTTAAAACCGCTTTTCTGCCGTCACCTCTTATGGTTTTGAGTTAGAATACAGTACTGGTAGTTTATTTTCCAAGATTATATTTCATTAAAGGCGGTGTAAGGAAGGCATTTCGCTATATTACAATAACCAGGAGTAGACAGTTGTGAACAGTCCTTCGGTTTATCCGCTAGCAGTTTGTTTCTCACAGTCGCCGACAGAGTAGGAGTGATTGGACAGAAACCCGGTATATGCGGGTCTTTGTAGTGATAGCGATGTCTGGTCCCGTCCAATTACATTTTTTGAGGGCTGCAAATACCCGACGAACAGCATGGATTCGTCAGCCGAGGCTATCTTTGCTTTGTGCGTTCAGAAACAACATTCCCTGAGGTATTCTGAAACTATCTACTTCCTTAGTTTGATAGCCACAAATCCTGAGGAATGCCTTCTTCCTTATTTCGCCCAGTGGCTCCAGAGCCGTGCTTTGCACTGCTTCCTCTCTAGCTGACTTATCATTCTACACGTT